CAATAGGCCTCAATAAGTCATTCCACCAACAAAAAAATGGAGAAAGGTACAGCATAAAGAGGCAGTAAAAAATGTTAATGCTGCTCAAGCGAGGATGCAGGTGTATGATCAGACAACTACTAATGAAGAAAATAAAATGGACATACTCAAACCAGAAACAGTAAGAAACAACAAAATGCCAGTTCCCACAAATCCTCCATCCTTACATACGTCTCCTGTCTCCGTCCCACAACCAGTCTCTACCACTGCAAAGGAAAGCTTGTCAAAGTGCTGGCAGGTGCTTTAAGTGCAAACAGGATTCCAGTTCCTGAACCATCAGTATTCACTGGGGATCCATTAAAGTACAACAACTGGAAACTTTCCTTTGAAACACTGACTGACAAGAATAACATTCAAGACAAAGAGAAGATATATTATCTTCAAATATACGTAGGTGGACAAGCTAAAAATACACTTGATGGTTATTTCCCCCTTGGAACTGAATGTGCTTACATTGCTGCATGAGATATTTTGGATGACAGATACAGAAACCCATTCACAATTGCAAAGCCATACAGAGACGAGCTACAAACCTAGCCAAAAATAGCATCAAAGGACGGTTTTGAGCTCAGAGAGTTTGTTGATCTTCTTCGCAGCTGTAAAACTGATGTGATCTGCTGCTTCAGTGCAAATATTAATGGAACTACAGAAAATTACAGATAAACATTTAATATCCAGGAATTCACATTACTGACACAATCACTGACTGTCCATGTAAAAAAAAAAAAAGATAGGAATGTTTACCAGTTTAGCCTCATATGTGATATATATCTGGGACAGATGATATATAACACCCCCCCCACACCCCCAAAAAGTAAGTAACTTTTACTCTGAGTAGGCCTACATTTTAAATGAGATACATTTTACTTTTAATTAGATTTTTACACCAGTAATTCTACTACTACTTAAGTAAAATTTCATCAAAGTAACAGCACTTCTACTTGAGTAGATTTTTTTCTGTACTCTTTCCATCTCTGTCGATAATTACACAATTGTTGTTATATTGTCTTATGATTGGGATTATGACTTGCCATGCTTTGTAGAAAGAGATAAATAGATGTTTTTTTCACCTTAAATAGCAAAACATTGTGGCCGAGAAGAAAAAGGCGACAGCCGTGCTACCACCAACCGCTAGCGGGGCTCTGGCCTCTCTTGCTGCCCAAGAAGGAGGCTGCAAGGCTGGCTGGAGCTAATGCCAACAATTAGTTTGGCTAACATCATAAACTGTCAAGCAGTTATATATATGTTTCTATTTTGTGTTGAGATTAAGTTGCCAACTCCAGGGTTTATTAAAACAGACACTTTTTGTCTGCTTGAAATAACGAATTATCATTGAGAAGATGTGGTAGACAGCACAGCTAATGCTTACAAGTATAGCCTCTTTTCTCTCTTGAGCAAAGAGCTGCTGAGGACAGGGGATGGGGCAAGTGGAGTGCCAAGGGAAATGGGAGGTGTGGCTGACATGCAGGTTTGTTTTGGTGCAAGGCTGATACAGAATTGCGACCACTAGTGCTGAATCAATTTTGTATATGGCTCCTTCAGTGCTGGCTTACATATTGCTCCACCAACATACCAGAACTTAATTTCTCTGGAGCAGACAAGAAAAAAAAAAAAGGAAAGCCCGTCCTTGCAAATGTTTGGTGGTTTGCAGTCGGTTTAGAAACTCTACCACCATGAACATACGACAGTGCAAAACAAGTCTATAAGATTATTACAGTGAAACCAAAAGAACTACAGAAATTGTCATTAAAACTCAAGTGATAAATATCTCCTACACATCTTATTAACGACAGCTCTTAAATGCATTACAATTAAGTGGTTAAAACACAACCCCCTATCACACAGACTATGGTCTGAGAAGGTATGGGAAATATACCAAATGAAACAAATAACATACTCACTACGACTTCAGAAAGATATATTTCTTCTCTTCATCCTCCTTTTGAGCTTTTACACACTTGTCTGGAGGTTTTTTGTAGGTGTCTCTTTTTATGTTACCAATTATTCATTTATTTATTTGTATCTCTAACCCCTTTTTTCTCCTTTTCCTCCCCTGTATATTTCCTTTTGATATTGTTATTATTATTTGTTTGTTAAAAATGAAAAAAAAAACAGCAGAAAGTGATTAAAGCTGGGGTAGGCAACTTTTGTTTTAAAAAAAAAACAAATCAACTTCTTTTTGTTTTTGTTCAGCTATCAGTAAGAAAAAGGTCTGTGCACTGCATGAAAAGTGGGATTTTCATCAGTAAGCAGCACTGTAGATTATCGTGGAAGTTCAGGTTTACGACTGCACACGGCAATTTGCAGGCAACACCGAAAACTGCCATGAATTGTCGGAAATTGATGTGGGCCTTGCTTGGCAGTTGTCCCCCCATGACCCCCCTCCCCCTAATTCTAGGGGAGGCTTTAACATGTAAATGAAAATGCTGTGAGCTATACAAATGTAAATCAGGGTAGCAGGGGGAGTTTTACCCCAGGTGACATTTTTCTAAAAGGTAATAACTTCATTAGAAAATCTCTGGTATAAATAGATCAGGCTCAGTATAGCCTAATTATAGACTCTTAAATTTTAGCTTGAATTGATTTATTTAATGAAAGTATGCTAGATTAATTACTGTGTATGTCATTAGCAATGGCCAATGTTATGTAAAAAGATACACAAAACAATTTGTTTCAACAATTAGTTTTAATCAGGCTTTGCCACAAAAGTAAAATGTGCATTCCATGCAATCAACATCACAGTCCCCTAGAGCTCAACCACTGTGCATAGTGGCATGACTACAGTGACCTTTTCTTTGGTCTTGCTTAAATGCACAGTGGATGTGTTAACCACACATCTCCCAGCAATTCGCTCAACAGGCAGAAATGATGCTGGGTATGACGTGTCTGTTCCCTGCAAGCTCCAAACTTCTATTGGCTTTCCATAAAAATGTCTGTCCGGATGGGGATGAAGCCAGGAAACTTGCGCAATAACATGTTTAAATGCAGTACCTTTTGACACAACATTAACAACTATAAACTGCTTTATAATGGCTCGTCGTAGTTCTGTTAGAGGGTCAAGGATGGGTTCCTCAAAACTGTTAGTGTTTCCACATCACTTAGCATATACATATGCTGACCTTTCTGCTCTAGATCTATCGATTGAGTAAGTTACATTCAGATATGTTACCCGTTTGCATGTCATGGCAAAACAGTCAACGTCAGTGACACAAGGGTACATCTGATGATACATTGTCAACATTGCAAGTCTGTCAGGCTCATCCAAGATTGTCTGGTGGAATGGAGACAGAGACACCACTATACAGTTGTCTAAAAAAAGTCTTTCTGCTGACACCAAAACACTGTGCTTCACATAAATCATCCTTATGTACCAAAGTTTGTTTTGGAGTTCCGCAAGGTTCTGTGCTCGGACCAATTCTATTTACTCTATATATGCTTCCTTTAGGTAACATCATTAGAAATCACTCTATAAATTTCCATTGTTATGCGGATGATACACAGTTGTATTTATCGATGAAGCCAGAAGAAAGTAATCAATTAACTAAACTCCATAACTGCCTTAAAGACATAAAAAATTGGATGAGCACCAATTTCCTGATGTTAAATTCAGACAAAACTGAAGTTATTGTTCTTGGCCCCAAACAACTCAGAGACTCTTTATCTGATGACATAGTTTCTCTAGATGGCATTGCTCTGGCCTCTAGCACTACCGTAAGAAACCTCGGAGTAATATTTGATCAAGATTTGTCTTTTAATTCTCATTTAAAGCAAACCTCACGGACTGCATTTTTTCATCTGCGTAATATTGCGAAAATTAGGCCTATCCTGACCCGAAAAGATGCAGAAAAATTGGTCCACGCTTTTGTTACCTCAAGGCTGGATTACTGTAACTCTCTATTATCAGGTAGCTCTAGTAAGTCCTTAAAAACTCTCCAGCTAATTCAGAATGCAGCAGCACGTGTACTAACAGGAACTAAGAAACGAGATCATATTTCTCCTGTTTTAGCTTCTCTGCACTGGCTCCCTGTAAAATCCAGAATTGAATTTAAAATCCTACTGTTAACTTATAAAGCTCTAAATGGTCAAGCTCCGTCATATCTTAGAGAGCTCATAGTGCCATATTATCCCACCAGAACACTGCGCTCTGAGAACGCAGGGTTACTCGTGGTCCCTAAAGTCTCCAAAAGTAGATCAGGAGCCAGAGCCTTCAGCTATCAGGCTCCTCTCCTGTGGAATCATCTTCCTGTTACGGTCCGGGAGGCAGACACCGTCTCCACATTTAAGACTAGACTTAAGACTTTCCTCTTTGATAAAGCTTATAGTTAGGGCTGGCTCAGGCTTGCCCTGTACCAGCCCCTAGTTAGGCTGACTTAGGCCTAGTCTGCCGGAGGACCCCCCTATAATACACCGGGCACCTTCTCTCTCTCTCTCTCTCTCTCTCGTATTCTATTACTGCATCTTGCTAACTCGGCCATTCTGGATGTCACTAACTCGGCTTCTTCTCCGGAGCCTTTGTGCTCCACTGTCTCTCAGATTAACTCATATCGCAGCGGTGCCTGGACAGCGTGACGTGTGTGGTTGTGCTGCTGCCGTGGTCCTGCCAGATGCCTCCTGCTGCTACTGCCATCATTAGTCATTAGTCATACTTCTACTGTTATTATACACATATGACTATTGTCACACATGTATACTGCCAGATATTAATACATACTTTCAACATATTGTACCACAGTAGCCAGAACTACAACTATAATATTATTACTTTCAATAATGTTGTTGTAAGCTACTGTCATTACCTGCATCTCTTTCTCTCTCTGTGTCATTGTGTCATGCGGATTACTGTTAATTTATTATGCTGATCTGTTCTGTACGACATCTATTGCACGTCTGTCCGTCCTGGAAGAGGGATCCCTCCTCAGTTGCTCTTCCTGAGGTTTTTTTCCCCCCTGTTAAAGGGTTTTTTTTGGGGAGTTTTTCCTTATCCGCTGCGAGGGTCATAAGGACAGAGGGATGTCGTATGCATCCATGTGCATGGCATATGAAGCTGTTGGCTCTGCTGAAATTGCCTCATAATCTGTACTTCAATTGTCCTATTGTTGTTATTAAACTTTCCCAGTATTCCATTAAAACTCTCAAATGAAAAACACCAAAAAGAATAAACTGGTCCGTAATCCAATATGTACTCTTTCAAATGAAGATGTAGATGCATGTTGGGGGTGCAGTGCAATGGGCCAAACAGTTTGACAAATTTTGAGAGAAATGTCTGCAGGTATCCATCAGCTACTTCCAGTCTATTGATGGATATGACTCTGGAGCAGAGTATGATACAAGCCTGCACAAAGTCAAACCACATGCCATAGTGTCTGTTGTTGATAAGCCCCTTCAGATAAAACAGTGAGTAAATGGTTGTCCAGGTTTTCCACTGATCTGCTGTAAATCCTGTAAAGCCAGATGAAATCCGTAAGGGAATTCTTCCAACCTCATAAGGTACTTTGATGTTTTCCACTCTAGCTTGAAGTTCATCAATTTTTGTTGTTAAAATTCCTAGTTCTGTCCACAGTCTGAATACATGTCTTGCCGTACCAAGGAGAAGGTTGTGCATTGGATCTATGATGTCAAATCTGATGGCATCATAGTAACTCAAGCGGAAAAGTTCTGACCATCTAGCTCCATACTTGCGTTCAATTCTTTTCTGTTCTGCCTTTGTCCTTGCCCGTTTGGATAATCCAGCATAGTGTGTGTGATCCTTTGACGTGCGTGGCTCCCATGAAGACCGCTCAAATCCTGAGTAGTCCATTTTTTCACCAAATTCTTTTTTGCTGAACGTCTTCAAACACTTGTGGCATCCTGCAAATAAGTTAAATGCAATATGTAACTGCTATCCATTAAAAAATAGACAATGTAAACATCTACATATTGATTTTAGTGATTCAATGATCAATATCAATGTTTATTATAGCAAATTAGCAATCATTTATTATAACAAAGAATATTTGAATATTTCAATTTCCTCTGTATGCTCCATGTCCAACAAAGCCTCCACATTTTCGAGTTGCGGGGATATCTGATCAAAGACAAAGCAGAGCTGCTCTGTAAACCTGATGTCCTACGAAAGAGCTGTCTTCCAGAATCATGCCATGCCAAAGTTCTTGAAGCTCATCAACTAAGGAGTATAAGAAAGCATTTATGTTTAGTGATGGCTCTTTTGGTCCAGGTATTAGTCCAATGAGAATCATATTTTCTTCCTTAAAACAGTCCTCACAAGGTAGATTCAAATGACCAAGTAGATGGCTCCAACTTCATTCAGGAAGCCGAGAGCTTCCTGAATCCGGTGATACCAAACTTCACGTGGTTTGATGACGTAGTGCGCCTGTGAGATGCCATTTAACAGAGGAGGGAGGGAGCGCGGACGCCGGCGTCCGAGGGGAGTTAAAGAGGCTATTTTTCAGGTGCATTAATAGATGTGTTGTGTCCATACGCAGTGCATCGCGCAGTACTGATCTGGTCTTTATTGATTGTTTTTACAGCTGCTGGAAGTGAGACAGAGTGTGCTTGCCGACGATGAGGTGGACCTTTGGAAGTGTGCCACCATAGACCTAATGTCCGATGAGGAAGACGGCATCATTGGTGGGGTGTCTGAATGGATTGTGCGACCTCCGTTCTTTCGTAGCCAGGAGCTCACAGAGCTCTGTGCCTCGCTGCAGTCGAGATTAGAGGTTAAAGGTTAAAGTACAGGGCAACGCACCACAGACGTCTGCAAAATGGACCAAATTCGGACAGAATGCCGCCAGTTACCTACAGCTCCGAGGCGGCAGACAGACACTTCACGGTACTGTAGGATTTTGGCCTTCTCCTGAGCTTCCCGTTTGTTGTGTGGGCAGATTTTTACATAGTTGTGTGTTTGTGTTTCTGCTTATGACCCAGGGTGACCAATGGTGACAGATCTGCCAACCAATCACGAGCGATTTTTCTTGTTTAAAAGTAGTGGTTTCATCCAATACTGAGTGAGGGAATTCAAGCCAGGCCAGACATTCTCTGGCCAGGCGTGGTTTCGCTGCTATTCATATGCTAAATAGAGCCATTCGCACCTCCGCCAGCTCAACATACGTCATGGTTCGTTTCCGTCAATATGTGGCACAGACGAACGTGACGTTCACAGGCTGTAAATTGTCGTTAACTGCCGAAAATTAGGGAGATTTCCAGGCATTTACGGGGACGAAAATCCCACTTTTCATGCAGTGGTGTGTATGAGGAGATCACTGTGTTTCTCTGTGTCACAGAATACAGCAGTCTGCAAATTCTACCGCTCCTATTACGTCTCACAGATCTCCACCTCCCCCACCCCCACACGCCCCACACAAACAATCCCGTGCACGAGCAAGATCACAATATACCGGCATTTTCCAAGCGGAGCTCAAGCGTCTCTGATTGGTCAGACATAACAGATTTCAGACTGCTGCATACTGAGACACAGTAACACACAGTGATCTCCCCATACACACAGACCTTTTCCTTACTGATAGTTGAATCAGAAAACAAAAACAAAAATAAGTTGATTTATTGTTTTTTAAACAAAAGTTGCCTACCCCAGCTTTAAGTGCTGAAACTGCAATAAAAAAAATTAAGTAAAAAAAAAAAAAAAACTCAAGTGATGCAAATGGTCTGTAAACTACTGCTGACGAAGATACTGAAAAAGAAAAACCTTTTTAAGTGTGAACTTTAACAGTGTTTTTAGGTCTAGTCACAATGGACAAGTGAAGAATATTTTCATTTCATTAAAAACTATTAGACAGCCAGACAGCCAGTAGAACTGTCTGAGCACAGATATTTTAATTCAACTGACACTTACAGGCAAGCACCCTGTTAAGAACAAAATCACCAATGTTTTGGCATGTCCTAAGTTTGCATGTCTCACACTCCCTTTTAGATGCCAAATGCCCTTTCATGATGTGAGATTTGAAGTGCCTCATCATGGCACTGACCTCAGCTTTGGTCCATGGTCTTCTAGTAGACATGCTTTTACCTCTGCTAGCCACAAACAAACAATAAAATTGTATGTTAGTAAGGCTTGCTACAATTTAAAGTCAGGTGTCTTGCAAGACATCTTCTTGGGATATACAAATGCAGTAAATCTGTTATTGGCAACATGGTAATTGGTGTTAAAAAGTTGCTTTTTCAAAGATTGTGGAAATCATGGCACAAATTAAAACTCAACTTGACCATACCATTGCGTCCAGAGATATGTCTGTCAGCTTTGTTGTAAGATGTTCCTTCACTTGTCCATACTTTCATCTGAAAAGTATGGAACAGGAGACCATAGTTGATGCATTTTATCTAAGTACAGTTATTGTTATATGTTATTAACATTGTAAATTTCACTTTCCTAAGAAAGCAATACTATACAAAAGCAGTACTATAAAACTTTGACTGAGGCCTACGGTTTCGAAAAACAAAACACATAAAAACAATTTGAGCAAAATTGGGTCATATTTTATGGAGATGATGTCATACAACTGCTCTGCCTAACTGTGATTCTCAGAGGTTCCTGAAAGCAACGCATGGGCTGCCTGCAGACAGAAACTTCAGCTTCAGCACTGGGTCACTGCTGGTGACAGCTCTGCTAAAATTAAAGGCTGCAGACAGACAGACAGCAGTCACATCAGAGGGAAAACCAGAGGACATTTTTTATAATGTAAAATATGACCCAGATTTACTAAAATTGCTGTTTTGTGTGACCTATTAACGTGCATCGTTAAGTTTTGTTTTTCAAAGCAGTGGGTCAAAGTTATACAGTTTTGCTTTAAGCCCTACACATGAGCTTATAAAATGTATCATCAACATTAAACTCAGAGTGACCCAAAACTTTGTGATATTTAACAGTGACTGAAATCCTAGTGGTAGGTGCTAGAGGTCAGAGAGAGAGAGAGAGGTCAATTCCAAACTAATCTCACTATCTCTGAAACTCTGAGGAGGTTAGCAATCTGAGTGTTATTCTGGATTCAAAGCTCAATTTAACAAACCACATTATTGGTGTAATTACAACACTTTTTATCACTTTAAAAATATTTCTAAAGTTAAACAAGTCTTGTTACAGTCAGAAGCTTGGACAAGAAAAATAAACATATGACTCCTGTACTTAAATAATTTAACAGGCTTCCAATACAAGACTTGATTTTAAAATAGACTATTGCTCACGATTTAGAAATCGCTTAATGGGCTAGCTTCTCAAGACATCTATGACCTGCTCACTACATATAAACCCTCCAGAGCTGTTAGTGTTTGTCTGTCTTTGTCTCTGCATCTGTCTCTCTGTTTGTCTGTCACCCTGCCTGTTTGTCCTTCCGTGTCTCTGTGTGTGTCTCTCTGTCTGTCTTTGTGCCATTCTGTCTGGCTGTGTCTCTGTTTCTTGAGATGCTTCATTCTTACTTTTGTTTTTGGTCATAGGTGCTGGATGTAAAGCCGACTGACATAACTCTGTACAAAATGTGCTTCTACACTGAAACATTTTCCTTTTTTTGGCATTCAAAATATATACCATTCATTTCATCAGGAGCATCTTCGTCCAGTGCTCTGTCCGCAGCAGGGTTTTCCTCATCTTCACTCTCACCCCCATCAATATCATCATCATCTGTGAAATCTGGACAAACAATGGGAAATTACCGTTTTTATTTTCAGTTTAAACGCAACAAATGATTAACTTTCCTTTAATGGCTGGATACTGCTCATCAGGTGTATTGGGTCAAATTAGCTTCTAACAACATTAACAATAGCTTTTAACAACCAAGATTAGATGCAGTAAATTTAAAGCTATTTAAAGCTCTTAAAAAATAAGTTTCTTGTACATATTAAATTGAACAATTGTCTTTGTGTCTCCGTCTCTCAAACACACACACATGCTGCTGCAGCACTGCGCAAGGCGCCTCATCCAGTTAGCTGTCTGCTAGGGATAGACCGATATGGATTTTTTAGGGCCGATGCTAATACCGATTTTTTTCCATCACCCTTAGCCGATGACTGATTATGGACTGCTGATTTTCTTGAGCCGATATTTGGGGCCGATACTGCTTTTGCTCCCTCAATTTACATAAAAAAAAAAAGACACAATGATAACAAATATTACAGGTCTCAAGTTTAAAATAAGAAACATTTATTGAACAGTAAAAAATACTAAAACAAGATGGAAAGTTGAGGTAGAACAGGTAGAATATTATTATTATTATTATTATACATTCAAATACAAAAAAGAGTTCAGTGCTCTTAAATCTTCCAGTAATGTCTTTATAAAATAAACAAATATTTAAGCTGAAGCATAAATAAAACAACAACTACTGTACACAGTAGGATTCAACAGCTTTGTTCAACTTAACCACATACTTTCAAATGAAAAAAAAGTGCCAGGGAAAAATTAATCCGCGAACCCACGTGCGTATCGGCCGATGCTGATACAAGTAAAAAACTCAAATATCGGCCCGATATATTGGCCGGCCGATGTATCGGTCTATCCTTACTGTCTGCTCAGCTGATCGGTACATAGTGCAGCAAAACAAGTTAAATTCTAAAAGTGTGAAGTCCATTCTTTTTCTGTACAGTGCAGCCAAACACCAGGTTAAAAACAGACAGCATAGCCCTACACATGTGGACTAATGTTCTGTAATAATGAACAAGCAACAAATACACAATATTTCAAATTACAACCTATTGGAACATTGTGGTCACAATTTAGTCTCAAAAAAAAAAGAAAACCTCAAATGAACCTACATCTCATAGTAATCTGAAGTAAGTGAGTATTAGCACCATCAACCTGAGGAGTTATTAATATCTAGACCCATCTTTTAACATAAAACAAGATTTCAAGTCATGACAAGCTGTGATGTTCTAAACTGTAGTTCACTGAAAACCATATTTGGCCCTCATAAACCAAATCATAGCCCCTTAAACCACAAAAAAGCACACACAAACACACAAGGACTGTATGAGCATGTCCTACCCCTTCATAACACAGTAGCAGTACGAGAACATGACATCGGATCACGTTAAAGCGCTTCATGCGTGCCAAGAGAAGGTGTGAGTATATTGACAACCTTTTTGAAGAGGAGAAGGACAGAGGACTTGTTCCTGCACTGTAGCTGGAGCTGAGGTTTGATGGACGCAGAAAGGGAGGAACAGACAGAAGGTCAAAAAAACAAGAGACAGAAGTTGTTACTGCATTTAATGTCATAATCTGAAATATTATTTTATCACATTTGTCAAGGATGTCTACCCAATCAGCTCACAATATTTTTGTTTTGTTCTAAAAACCACATCACTTAACATTGGCCTTGAACATTGTGGTCACAATTTAGTCTAAAAAAAACAAAACTCCAATGAACCTACATCTCATAGTAATCTGAAGTAAGTGAGTATTAGCACCATCAACCTGAGGAGTGATTAATATCTAGGCCCATCTTTTAACATAAAACAAGATTTCAAGTCATGACAAGCTGTGATGTTCTAAACTGTAGTTCACTGAAAACCATATTTGGCCCTCATAAACCAAATCATGGCCCCTTAAACCACAAGAAAGCACACACAAACACACAAGGACTGTATGAGCATGTCCTACCCCTTAATAACACAGAAGCAGTATGAGAACATGACATCAGATCACGTTAAAGTGCTTCATGTGTGCAAAGAGAAGGTGTGAGTATATCGACAAACCTTTTGATGAGGAGAAGGAAGAGGACTTGTTCCTGAACTGTAGCTGAAGCTGAGGTCTGATGGATGCAGAAAGGGAGGAACAGACAGAAGGTCAAAAATACAAGAGACAGAAGTTGTTACTGCAAGAAGTTGTGAGTATATTGACCAACAATATTTTTGTTTTGTTCTAAAAACTACATCACTTTACATTGGCCTTGAACATTGTGGTCACAATTTAGTCTAAAAAAATAAAAAATAAAAACCTCCAATGAACCTACATTTCATAGTAATTTGAAATAAGTGAGTATTAGCACCATCAACCTGAGGAGTGATTAATATCTAGGCCCATCTTTTTATGTAACCCAAAATTTCAAGTTATGCCAAGCTGCGACACTGCATGCTGTAGTAATAAGTCTTTCACAGATAGTGCAGTTTGCCGACCCATCATCTTTTTGAATAAAAATAATGCCATGCCGTGGTCTGACATGACTGTGGCCAAACTAGTGTGCTCGCTTAGCACGTGTCTACTTTAAAAGAGAAAGAGGTGAGGCTTGCCCTGTACTGCAACCTTCTTCACCTTGCAGTTTGGATGGTAGTGGTCATCATTAACAAGTCTCCCATAGCTGCCATTATCTTGAGCTGCATCAATAGATTAGATTAGATTAGATAGAACTTTATTAATCCCTTGGGAAGACTCCCTCAGGGAAATTAAGATTCCAGCAGCACTGGATAGCAGCACACAGGGTATCAAAATGTAAAAAAATAAAAATAATTTGTAAAATATAAATATAAGATAAATATAAGATATATGATACTTCAAAAATATAATATATCATTAATTACATGCATTGAAATTACATAATTGATTGTACTTATCAACATCATCATTCCTTCAAAAGAGAAATCCAGATATCATTTGTCTTTTGAGCAACACAGCCACCAGTGGTAAAATTATCTTACATGAACATATTGGGATTAGAAATGACCTGTGCACAACATTGTGTGCACAACATTACTGATGTCTATAGATGGTAACTTGTTTGAGACATGAAAAAAAAAAAAAAAGCTAAGAAATGTAAAATTCAGTCTACATCTTACCACCACATTCTTTCTCTCCAGGGGAATTCATACATAAAGACAGCGCATGCTCTGTTGTATATCCTCCTCCTCTTTTGTGCCTCCTCAGAATTTATTAATTCTCCTCTATACTCGACAATAAAGTCACCTTTCAGGAAACTGGCCCTGGAAAACACTCCTGGACCTAGTGCATACATACAAATACCATTACACTGTTTAGACCTTTTCAGTTCTTTTTCTTTTACTATTCCTAAAAAGCTACAAGCAGGAGCTATTCTTTTCACAGCACATCAATAACCATATGACAGGATATCATTAATAAAGTTGTACACCACAGTTACATATGCACAAATGGTCCTCAATTATTTAGAACACCTCAAAAGTAAATTACATTAATTTGCCAACTTTGTTTTAGTTTGTGTATCCCTCTGGCCCACTACACTGGCAAAAGGAACCTTTCAAGACCCTCAAATACAATGACAATTGTCCAGAGTATTGAAGATGCGAACAAAACATGCTGCCATATTCTATGCTATTATCATTTCTTTCCTTTGTAGTAACAGAAGGTAAGCTGTGCTAGAACTACAAAACCTGAAAACAAAGTAAAAATAAAAAACACCATACCTTTATAAGAGTTTATGTATTTAACCTCTAGTTGTGCTGTCTTGGTCAGTCCTTTGGTGGCATGTTCAATGGCATCCTGCACAGGAGCTTTCCTCCTCCTTGTTGCAGCCATCTATTATCCTACAATCAAATACAGCTTTAATTCAATTTCAATTTCAATTCAATTTTATTTATAAAGCCCAATATCACAAATCACAATTTGCCTCACAGGGCTTTACAGCATACGACATCCCTCTGTCCTTATGACCCTCGCAGCGGATAAGGAAAAACTCCCCAAAAAAACCCCTTTAACGGGGAAAAAAAACGGTAGAAACCTCAGGAAGAGCAACTGAGGAGGGATCCCTCTTCCAGGACGGACAGACGTGCAATAGATGTCGTACAGAACAGATCAGCATAATAAATTAACAGTAATCCATATGACACAATGAGACAGAGAGAGAGAGAGAGAGAGAGAGAGAGAGAGAGAGAGAGAGAGAGATGCAGGTAATGACAGTAGCTTACAACAACATTATTGAAAGTAATAATATTATAGTTATAGTTCTGGCTACTGTGGTACAATATGTTGAAAGTATGTATTAATATCTGGCAGTATACATGTGTGACAATAGTCATATGTGTATAATAACAGTAGAAGTATGACTAATGACTAATGATGGCAGCAGCAGCAGGAGGCATCTGGCAGGACCACGGCAGCAGCACAACCACACACGTCACGCTGTCCAGGCACCGCTGCGATATGAGTTAATCTGAGAGACAGTGGAGCACAAAGGCTCCGGAGAAGAAGCCGAGTTAGTGACATCCAGAATGGCCGAGTTAGCAAGATGCAGTAATAGGATGAGAGTGAGAGAGAGAGAGAGAGAGAGAGAGAGAGAGAGAGAGAGGGAGAGAGAGGGAGCCCGGTGTATTATAGGGGGTCCTCCGGCAGACTAGGCCTAAGTCAGCCTAACTAGGGGCTGGTACAGGGCAAGCCTGAGCCAGCCCTAACTATAAGCTTTATCAAAGAGGAAAGTCTTAAGTCTAGTCTTAAATGTGGAGACGGTGTCTGCCTCCCGGACCGTAACAGGAAGATGATTCCACAGGAGAGGAGCCTGATAGCTGAAGGCTCTGGCTCCTGATCTACTTTTGGAGACTTTAGGGACCACGAGTAACCCTGCGTTCTCAGAGCGCAGTGTTCTGGTGGGATAATATGGCACTATGAGCTCTCTAAGATATGACGGAGCTTGACCATTTAGAGCTTTATAAGTTAACAGTAGGATTTTAAATTCAATTCTGGATTTTACAGGGAGCCAGTGCAGAGAAGCTAAAACAGGAGAAATATGATCTCGTTTCTTAGTTCCTGTTAGTACACGTGCTGCTGCATTCTGAATTAGCTGGAGAGTTTTTAAGGACTTACTAGAGCTACCTGATAATAGAGAGTTACAGTAATCCAGCCTTGAGGTAACAAAAGCGTGGACCAATTTTTCTGCATCTTTTCGGGTCAGGATAGGCCTAATTTTCGCAATATTACGCAGATGAAAAAATGCAGTCCGTGAGGTTTGCTTTAAATGAGAATTAAAAGACAAATCTTGATCAAATATTACTCCGAGGTTTCTTACGGTAGTGCTAGAGGCCAGAGCAATGCCATCTAGAGAAACTATGTCATCAGATAAAGAGTCTCTGAGTTGTTTGGGGCCAAGAACAATAACTTCAGTTTTGTCTGAATTTAACATCAGGAAATTGGTGCTCATCCAATTTTTTATGTCTTTAAGGCAGTTATGGAGTTTAGTTAATTGATTACTTTCTTCTGGCTTCATCGATAAATACAACTGTGTATCATCCGCATAACAATGGAAATTTATAGAGTGATTTCTAATGATGTTACCTAAAGGAAGCATATATAGAGTAAATAGGATTGGTCCGAGCACAGAACCTTGCGGAACTCCAAAACAAACTTTGGTACGTAAGGATGATTCATTACGAACGTCAACAAATTGAAAACGATCAGATAAATAAGATTTAAACCAGCTTAGTGCTGAACCTTTTAGGCCAATTAAGTGATCCAGTCTCTGCAGTAGAATTTGATGGTCAATTGTGTCAAACGCCGCACTAAGATCTAATAAAACAAGAACAGAGACGAGTCCTTTGTCTGAAGCAATCAGAAGGTCATTTGTAATTTTAACTAGAGCTGTCTCAGTGCTATGATGCACTCTAAATCCTGACTGAAATTCCTCAAATAAATTATTATCCTGGAGAAAATCACACAGCTGGTCTGCGACTACTTTCTCAAGGATCTTTGACATAAAGGGAAGATTAGATATTGGTCTATAGTTGGCTAACACCTCTGGATCCAGGGTGGGCTTTTTTAGGAGAGGTTTAATTACAGCTACCTTAAAAGACTGTGGTACATAGCCTGTTAATAGGGATATATTGATCATATCTAATATATGAGTGTTAACTAAAGGAAAGACCTCCTTAAGTAGCCTAGTTGGGATGGGGTCTAAGAGACACGTTGATGATTTAGATGAAGAAATCACTGCGGTCAATTCTTGAAGAGAAATTGGGGAGAAGCAATCTAAATATATATTAGATTCTACAGCTGTGTTTGAGGTTAGATAGGTAGGCCTACCATCTGAGGGCAGGAGGTCATGAATTTTGCCTCTAATAGTTAGAATTTTGTCATTAAAAAAGCTCATAAAATCATTACTGCTAAGGGCTAAAGGAATACAAGGCTCAATAGAGCTTTGACTCTCAGTCAGCCTGGCTACAGTGCTGAAAAGAAACCTGGGGTTGTTCTTGTTTTCTTCTATTAATGCTGAGTAATAGTTTGCTCTGGCATTGCGGAGGCCCCTCTTATAAGTTTTGAGACTGTCTGTCCAGATTAAACGAGATTCTTCCAGTTTGGTTAATCGCCAATTCCTTTCAAATTTTCGCGATATTTGTTTTAACCTACGGGTTTGAGAGTTATACCAAGGAGCAAACTTTCTTTGCTTTGTTAACTTCTTTTTAAGAGGAGCTACAGAGTCGAGCGTTGTTCGCAGCGAGCCTACGGCGCTATCAACAAAATGATCAATTTGGGAGAGGTTAAAGTCGGCACGGGAAACCTCTGTTACTGAAGGTATTGGTATTGAATTTAACGACGAAGTAATCTTTTCCTTAAATTTTGTGACAGCACTATCTGATAAACATCTAGTATAGTAACTGTTGCTGAGTGGCGTGTAATCGAGTAAAAAGAAATCAAAAGTAATCAGATAATGATCTGATAGCAAGGGATTCTGTGGAAAGACTTTTAGGTTATCAATTTCAATTCCATACGTCAGAACTAGATCGAGGGTATGGTTAAAACAGTGAGTGGGTTCATGTACACCCTGACTGAAGCCAATGGAGTCTATTAATGAGATAAACGCGGTAGCCAGGGAGTCATTATCAACGTCGACATGAATGTTAAAATCGCCTACAATAATAACTTTATCTGATTTAAGAACTAAACTGGATAAAAACTCTGAGAATTCAGATACAAATTCAGAATACGGGCCAGGAGCACGGTACACTATAACAAATAAAAGTGGCTGCGAGGTTTTCCAAGTCGGATGTAAAACACTAAGAACGAGGCTTTCAAATGAATTATAATCTAGTTTAGGTAATGGTTAATGTAACCAGATAGTCAAAATTATTAATGCTAGTTAGGCCAGGAGTAATGGCCTTAAAATCATATTATAACATATCAGTTCCACAACAATATTGTAGCCTAAACTATTGATACTTCAAAAAAAAAAAAAAATACTAACTCAGTGAGACTTCTTTTTTGTAATGATCATCAGTAACTTTAATTTAATGACTGAGGTGGAAGAGGCAAACATAAAAACAGATTAAAATATCTGACAAGTTTAGAAAATAATATTTCACTGTAGTGCAGCCTTTCAAACAGGAAAATACATAATTTATTTCATATCTCAGTACAATATCTAGAATTTCAGACGGTATAGACACTCATATCACAGTAACAGGATATATATTGCCCAGCCGTATATGTTAGACGATCAAAAGTTAATAGGCTACA